ACAACTTTTCGGTGCCTTTCGGTGCCTTTGCAGCAAATGCAGCTTGTAATTATACAAGAAACTGACACTATTTCAGAGCAGGTGAGCATGGTGAAGGGATCAATTTCAATATTTTTAATTGATATCGATCTCGAAGGGGTTCCCAAGGTAAAACAAATACAAATCAATACGTCTGAGAGTTTCATTATTAGTAAGCACCAACTGACTTGGCTGAAAGAACCATTCGAAGTCCAGGTGAACATTTCTGATTCGATTCTGACCTAGTTCAAACTAGCCCAGACCTACTCCCACAACTCCTCAGTGTAATCGCACGATAACAAATCGTTTCCAGGTAATAAAGGCCCACTTTAACAAACATTTAAGCGGAGTATCCATACATCCACCCACCCACCCGACCGTGGGCACGCTCAGCTCAGCGCATATTGGGTTCTCAAGCAGCTCATTCATTATAAAAATTTGTTGTATTTTTTTTTTATTTTGTTTTTGTTTTCATTATGCTTTATAATAAGTATCATTGCGCGCAACTGCAGACCGGCGGCAATAATTTCGATTCACCGATCACATTTCACGTGCTGCAAAAATGTTGCTGTGGGAGAGTTTTTGTTGCTGTTGCTGTTGCTGTTGCTGTAGCTGTTGTTATTGTCGTTGCTCTCCGTACCCGTGGCCGTCTCTGCGGGTAGATGGCTCCCCGTCTGTGGCATTAAATTAATTTTGCTCATTTGGCGGATAAGCCCAGCATGGGAAGAGGTGGCGGTGGCGGTGGAAGTGGGGGGCGGTGTGCCTTTCTGCGTAAATATGCAACCCACTTGGACTCGGTTTCGGAATCGGATTCGGATTCGGACTCAGCGCAACTCCGCCGCTCAGTCATTCACTGGCGCACTCACTCGTTAAAATGATTATAAAAATTCATCAATATAGGGTTTCCGACCCATCGCGCTCAGTTTACATCCATGGACGAACATTGTTGGCGAAATCTCGTAATCGTAATCGCTGGCTGCAACTTCGATGCGAACTCCAATTACAAATGCCGGACCCAGCACTCCCAGCACTCCCATCAGTGGACTGGCCTTTTTGTTGCACTTTTCTAAATGCTCTCCAACATAAGCCATCATCATCATCCTTTTCCGCAGAATAATTGGAATTGCAAATTGAAAACTGATACGATTCCGATGGTTTGACTTTGATTCTTGTTTTTCAGTATTTACTTGGAAATGCTCGAATTCTAATGATGTGCAATGTGAATAACATATTTTAAACGCTTCAATTAATCTTTGGTATCTTTAGAACGAAAAAAAAACTATCAACGAAACGAAATGTGAGGATTTCAGCAAAAGGGAAACTGTAAGTCTTTGATTAAGTCCAATTACCGAACAATGGGGAAATAGGATAGTAATCTCATAATAATGAGAATTACTCGTTTTCTGCGTGTGGGTGCTATTCACCTTTTCTGCCGACCAATTCGAAACCAATTCAAGAAAACGCAATACACACTGGCGTATAATTTGTGGTCATCTTTGACTTGCACTCACCTTGATCTCATCGCTGGGGAGTTCCTTTTTGATCTGCACGGGTCCGGCCACGTTCGCGGCGACACCCACGCTGGCATCCCGGGAGCTAGACGGGGACGTTTTGGCGGACATTTCGGCTTGGCCTGGAGGTGGACGGGGCGTGGCTGGAACACAAGACTGAAGAAGACAAGGGTCAAAGTGGATCCGCGTGATATCTACTGAGGGTGCTTCTATTGCAAGCAAGAAGCACGTATTTATAGCTGGCCAAGTCATTGATCTTGCCACTGTAAACAACTGAACTTTCGAGTACATCAATCACTGGATATGGGGGATACTCGTACGCGTACTCGTACTCGTGTGCTCCATCCTATACCATTCCATCCCATCCCATCCCCCATTCAGCATAATTAATTACAGAGTCGCAGCGTCTCACAGTTTCAGCTACTCGTACTTTTTCGGTTCTTTCTTGGGGTCTCTGCTTTGCATATTGTTTCGCATCCATTGGATACGATACGCATGCACGATATATTTATACACCGCACCGTATTCTACGAGTATCTTTGTATCTCCCCATCTACATTTATGTATGTATATATGTGTGTGTGTGTGTATTAGTTTGTGTATCTGTGTGGTTGAGTGTTGTGCTGCCTTTGTGTTTGTGAGCATGTTCGCTTGGCGCGCACTTTGGTGTCTTGTAATTTAATACCTCGACGAAACGCTACCACCTATCCTATCGCATAACACACACAAGACTACAAATTCAACTTTATATTCAAATCCAAGCGCAAAGCACAGCAACAACAAATCATCGACGACGTATCTGTACTGTAGAGTTCAGAAGAAATCAGACGGAAAAAGACGAATTTGTTCGCCAACTAAAGGGAAAGTAATTGGAGTCCTGTCTGAATACGAGTGTGCATATGTCTTTCTTTGAAAGTTGAAAGATTGGTATTTCCCGGAAATGGACACTTTTTTGACCATATATAAATATCAGATCTATATATGTACATAGTAGGTCCACCCTCAGGAGTGGTATTCAAGAATTATCCCACAAATCATATCCAATATCCAGTTGGGAACTGTTCCATTGTTAAAGGCTAATGTATTCGTTCTTTATTCCATATCTCGCTCGCAATATATCTGCCCGATCTTCGTCATTCCTGATTGCCTTGCCCCATTGAAAACATTTCACTTTGCATCGCGATTCGCCTTGTGCTGCTTCTTGGTTTCATTTCATTTCATTTCATTTTATTTTCGCTTTGTTTTGCTTTTGAGAACTTTTCGAAAACATTTCAATATCCAACTCAAACCGAAAACGAAATGCAACTCAATGTGCACAATGGTTTCCAAATCATTATCATTTTATAATATGTATAATTCTTAAGGTTTTCGCGTTTTGTTGTTGCTTTACTTGGGGCAAAAATTTTCCAATCCAATGCAGCAGCAGCGTGTGGGAAACACAAATATACGAGTATATTCCAAAAATAGCCTGATACTTTCAACATTATATTTTTGGTATGTTCCGCTCCTCACCCGTTCCTCACCCACTCACAATTGGCCTTTCCTCTGTGTCGTACTCTCGCTCTCGCCTTCGATTCTTTTCACTGTGATTCGAGTGTGCGTTTTCTTTGGATTTTCCGCTGTTACAACGAGCAAACGAGCGCTAACGTCAAGGAAGCTCATGCACCATGCTCATTTTCATTTTCGTTTTCACTTTCCACACATATGCAGCACACACACGCCTTGGCGATGTTTCAAATTAAACCGTTTCCGATTCAGAAGCTTCTCAAAAACCGTTTGGGGCGCGCTCCGACAACCGCATGAACAACCGACAACCTCCGCGCTTCAGGAACATATGACGCCGCACAGCCATCGGCATGCGGATTTTTACTGTCTCTGCTGCTGTTGCTGCTGCTGCTGGTGCTGCTGCTGCTGCTGCTGCTTCGTCGGCGCTGCTGTTGTTGGGTGTCTGCGTATGCGCAGCTGTGGGTCTGTTGGCTGATGACGTATGGCTGGGCTGCGGCCCCCACCCGCCCCGCTCTGTCTCTGTGATGACTAAGGAGATGTTTGCCGCCTCTCTCGTGGCTCTCGAGGCTCTTGTGGCTCTTGTGGCTCTTATGTCTTTGCATAATTATTCTGTGCTTTACAGTTAAAAATAAATTGCATCATTTCACCTGCCTTCGTTTTGTTCTGCCTCGGAAATGCACGGGTATGTTATGTCCAATTTCTGTTTTAATTTTGCACAAAATACTCGTGATGTCCGCTGACATGGCCAGCAGAGAGATCAGAGAGATTTCAGTGGGAAATTAATCTTGGGGGAAAATGCAAGTAATGTGGACAGAAAATAGTTCTGACATCCAAAAAGGTCATACATATGGAAATATGTACATATATCATATAACATAAAAGAGGCACTTTTTGGGCCTGGATTCATCTTCTATAGGATCCCACTGAATCATAAGCTGAAGCAGAGCCCTGAAGCAGAGCCCTGAAGCAGTCTTAGCCCATCTGCGAACAACGATTAATACGCGTATGGGTATGACCATGGCACGGGCACAAAACAGTTGGCTATAGGCGAAAACTTACCATCAGGCAATACCAAGCACCAAGCACCACTTTCGATAGTACCAGTACCAGTACCGGTCGGTCTCGGTGCCAGTCCCTTAAGAGACAATTGAATCGCTTAAGTAGAACATCATAATCAACGACACAGCAGTGGGAACCAAAAGCAGCTGCCGTGTCACTCAAGAAACAATGCAATCATATAGATAAATGTAGCATTTAATGCAATGAATTTAAATTAATTTGAACAAGAGCCAGATAGATTTATTGTTAGATTGTGCTTCCTACGTGCGTGCCCCTCTCCGGAGGCCCGTGGTCGAACTAAACATATGAACGTTTGAAATACCTTTGACTTAGTCATTAGCGACAGTTGATGAAAATTGCAATTTATACATTAATTGTGGCAAACTTTTGGCTACCTTTACCAATTTATTGCATTTTGCCTCGTGGCCCAAAGTGTTTAATTTTAAGTATTTTCAATGCCCCTCTACAGATAAGAGATTTTTATCATCTTTTAATCTAAAATTTCCCTATTGAATAATTCTGAATGTATTTGTCTATAAATAGATTAGGAATAATAGAGAATTGTTGGTTCAACTCGTCTATTGGGACAGGATCATTTCATGTGACTCCGTGGCGCAACGGTAGCGCGTCTGACTCCAGATCAGAAGGTTGCGTGTTCAAATCACGTCGGGGTCAATTCGGGAAATATCTTTTTTTTTATTTATATTTCAATTATATAGTTTTTGCAATGCGGCAATAATTAATTTATACTTATTTGAATGATAGCAGTAAAATTTAAATGATTTTTCAGTTTGAATCAAGTTATCAAACAATAATAATCGATTGTCGAATGATCGAAACCATCGCTATCATCTCTAACAAAGTAAACAGCTGGTGGAGCCATCTGTTAATGTTTTGATTTTGCAATTGATTGGAAAATGCAGAGAAAACTCTAAGAAAAGAGGAAAATTGTGTGAACTACAAGCCAAAGTAAGCCAAGGAAATGCGAAGATGACAAAGGTGCCAAAAGTAGCCCTCACTTTAAAGCAGGTAAGCGGTTAAATCATCTGGGAGTAGAAGTATTACATGCCATGCGTTCCTCTACCACACAGTTTATGCTGCGGCAAGAAGTCTTGAAGCTATACCGGGAAATTTTTCGCACCATTCGCCAAGTGCCGGACAAACACAGCCAGGCAGAACTGCGGGCCTGGGCACGGCACGACTTCCAGACGAACCGTTCCCAGAGCGACGAGGTGGCCATCAAGATGCTGATGCAGCACGGGCGAAGGAGCCTGACTGAGCTGAAGACCAGCCTGCAGCTGAGCGGAGTGAAAGAGGAGGGAAAGTGAGGAAAATGCCTGTTGACTTTATTTTTGAGCTCGACAACAATACGAAAATAAATACGAGGTAAAACTAACGACTATGACAAAAGCTATCATCTTTGAGGTGCTACATTTCGCTGTGTATGAAAGTGAAAATAGCAGTCTAGCGTCTTGAAGTGGAGTTGAACTCCAGTTTCCAGTTTCTACATAAGGGGCCTGAGAAAGCTGAGCCAGGCGACCTTGAGCAGGGCCAGGCCAAAAAGCAAGGAGCCCACGCTAGTGATTATCACCGATATGAGATCCCTCTTGGCATACTGGTCCACTTTTCCCACCAGAAAGCTGTGTATCACGGTGCTGGTGATGTGAGCCCCATCGAAGCCAAAGCACGGAATGGCGTTGACTAAGGCCAGGCCAATGCTGAAGACCACGTTGTACTTAAGCAGCAGGAACCAGGCGTCCGGCCAGGCGGCACTCAGGAACCTGTAGCGCGGCACGAAGGCTGAAACCTCAACGGTGCGAGACACATCCCACGGATGACCCACATAGATGACCGGCGGCAGCTTTTCACCATTTAAATTCAGACGCTTGAACGTCATTATGGCTGTTATGTTCCGCATCAACGGACGCAGACAGAATCCCTCCGAGCAAAGGCCCGATGTGCAGTGCTCGGTGACTTCCTCCAGTGTGCGACGCACGTTGAGGCAAACATGCTGGGGCAGCTCCACAGGTACATCGCCGTTCACATCCTCCACCACCTCAAAGCAGCTGACGTTGGGATTCAGCTCGTCGCAGCATTGCAATTGTCCATCGACGCTGTGGTGAGAAATGGCGCTGCTTTCGTCGTTTAGCTGGATAAAGTCTGCGCTAACGCAATAGCCTGCCCTCTTCTTCATGGAACTGTACAAACAGGAGTGCCAGCTTTCCACGCTGCTTATTGGACATCCGTTCACCTGGGTGATGAGATTGTCCACTTTCAGTCCGCGCTCTCCTCGCAGCGCGGACTTCCGAGTCAGTTCCGTGACTATCACATGTTCGTTGTACACGAAGAAGGGGGACATGGTGATGCCTATCGTCGAGATGAGCAGGTAGCAGATGCCGGCAAACAGAAAGTTGTGCCAAATGCCCGCGCACAAGACCCGCAACTTCTTGAACCAGCGCAGGCTGTTCAGGTGGTCGTTCGAGAGCTCTGTGTAGGCCATCGGCAGGCAGAAAAAGAACTGAAAACGGTTTGGGATGCTCGAGAGTAATTTTTGATACTCATTTGCGGCTTTGCCGGCTTACCTTAATTCCGAAACCAGTCACAGGGACATCCTCCAGCACAGCCGCCATGGCGTGACCCATTTCGTGGACCACCAGGCAAAGCACAAGAGTCGTAATGTAGTAGCCGATCTCCTCCAGCGGCAGGTTGACGCCAGGCAGCAGAATCTCCAGCTGTACTGGCATGGCCGAGGCATACGGGGCTGAGGAGTCTGCCTCGCCGCCACTGAATATCGTGATGATGAGCAGGATGATGCCGATGGGCAGCAGTGAGAAGGTCAACAGCACGCCCACATTGAAGCTGGTGACCATGAAGTTGCGGGTGCAGCTGTTGCCGGCGGATCCCCAGCGCAGCAGCGCCCGATTGAAAGCGTTCGTGTGCCAGTGCAGGCTCATAAAGTTCACAGACAGTCCGGTGTTCTTCAGAAAGGCATCGTATGGGTAGTGCATGCAGCTCTGTCAAAGATAGGGCACATTCTGGTACAGAGTTTCACCTTTGACTTGGGGACTTACTTTGAAAAAGCGATCGAAAAAATATAGGACGCCGTAGAGGGACGTCACCACTACGAAGAACACCACAGGATCCATTTTGATGTCGTTTTGAGCGGGCCGGGCCCTAGAGGTTCATTGAAGACGGAGCTGGCAGCCGGAGGAATAGGAGCTGCAAGTGTAAATTTGTTTAATATTTTGCTGTTTTTATTTACATGCCGTGTGATCGACTTATCGACAAACTCAATCAATCGATATCGAATTCAAGTTCTATTTTACATATTCTTCGTTTTTGATCTTCCGTGGGTTGTTACTAGCTATATAGAACATATAGCCATGCCCACATCATTTTAGGCCATTGATAAATAAATTTTCTACAAAATTTGTCAGTTTTTGGTCCTTGCTTTTAGTGTATTTTGGCAAAAACAAGGTTTAAACAAAATAGTTCAACAAAAAAAACAGTCGCAATGTTGTTGGAATTTGAATACTTGATGCGTGTATAGACTTTTGTATACCCTATTTCGTTAATTTCATATGAAGATGAAACGTAATTTAAAAAGACCTTTTCTCAAATTGATATTCCTTAGACATATTAAAGTACATTATTAGTATCTTGTGTATATTTCTCTCGATCCTGATACCTACGGAGCCTGGGATGACAAACATTTTCTCAATTCTATAACATCTATTCCCCCAGGGTATGTGTGCGTGGAATGGGACTCATTGTTATGAGTCGGTTATGCGGTTATGACGACTAATTCTTGGTTAATCTTTCTTCCGTCGAATATTACCAGCTATATAGAACATTTAACCATGCCCACTCAATTTTGCACGATTGATGAATCAATTCTATACATGATTGGCCTATTCGTAATACTTGCATTTATCGGATTTTTATATAAAATTGAAAATTTAATTAATATATTGATGAAATTTACAAAAATACCATGGGAGCGCGGCGAACATCACCGAAATATACGGTCTCATTTGAAAAATATACCGAGTGGTGCGCGCCAAATCGAACTTTTTTGAATGTGAGCTCCCGGTTATGGTTGCAGCTCGGATTCGTCCATCGTGGCGCGGCTTATGGAGTCCGAGGCGACTCTGTTCAAGTAATGCACCCGCGACGCGTCTCGAGGACGAGGGAACGCGGCTTCTCCACCCCCCTTCCACAAAGCACGACGGCTGCCATCCACGCGGGTGATCTCGATGAGATGAGCCTCCGCATCGGACCGACGCGAGAACATGCCCCATTCCCCACGTTTTTCCATCGCACCAGACGCCAGTTGCCGTTTTAGCCGAACAGCTGTTCACCCCCACCCCCAGTCCGCGGTCTGTTCTTCTTCTTCCTTTTGCTATGATTTTGCTATGATTTTGCTGTGATTTTGCTGTGATTTTGCTGTGAATTCGTCTTCTTCTTCTTTTTTCCACGAAATTTTCATGTTTTAAAATACCACCGGAAAATACCGAATATTTCCCAAATTTTTTTTTTTAAAAAACGACCAATTCTTTGTTCCGTTGAATAATACTATCTATATAGAACATTTAACCATGCCCACTGAATTTTCTACGATTGACGAATCAATTCTATACATGATTGGCCTATTCAAAATACTTGCATTTATTGGATTTCTATATAAAATTGAAAATTAAATTAATAGATTGATGAAACTGACAAAATATACCATTATATACCGATATACTGTAAATATACCGAAAAGTATTAAAAACTCAATCTTATGATGGGTAGCACTGATGACGCGAAAATTCAAATCCACTTAACTGAAACTTGTATTGGCTTTTCAAGCACATTGTTAAATAACTCAAAATGATAAATTCAAGGATGTCAGAACTGGATATTGTACATCGTGCATTTTGGAGAAAATATTATACTGTCAGAGTACTGACGATTTTCATTGGAGGCTTCTCGACAGTGATTGGTATATGGGCCGCATGTTTGTTCCTCGCCGCGAAAGGTTCCCACAAGCAAAGCGTAAAGATCTTCTGGACATGTAGCTCAATTGCATATTCGTTGTCTTCAGTGCTGCTCGCTGTTGGCGCTCTGAACGTAAGATTACATTAATGATACACACAAACCACACTTTGTTCAAAAACTCCCATTTTATTCCGCAGAATCGTCGGTACTTGTTTGTGCCCTGGGTAATGCTCATCCTGATGGGAATCGCCGCGTATACAATGGTTATTGACTGGATAGTCACAGTTATTATGTTGGCCCTTCTACTGTCGGTGCTGATCAATTTTATATTCCTTGGAACTGTGATCTATCAGTACAGAGCGCTAAGTCGTCTGAATATTTTTCAATAAACATGCATCCTTAAAATAAACTACAAAGTACTCTGGGCGGTGGCAACAATGGAAATGTTAGCGAGTGATGACTGTATACTCATCAGCCGCTCAACCAGGAACTATTCCTCCGACTGCCAGCATAGGCAACAAGCGGCGGCGGCAAAATATGGCTAGCAAAACAAAACGAATAAAATGGATTTTTCTCTCTTTCTTCTTCTTTTACTATCACTCTCTCTCTCTCCTCGGAAACTCACCTCAAAATCAGTCTAAAGGATATGGACAAAGGACATCACATCGCAAGCTTCAAAGAGCAGCAGAACTTTCGAGGGAAAAGAACAGAAAGGAACAGACGTCTCTGAGTGATAATTTTCAAAGGACTCTTGGTGTGTCGAAAACTAATTTAATCAGCGAACGATACAAATATCAACGAAAGCCAGCGCTCAGTATTCTACCAGTGGAATTTTTATATTGCGTAAATCGGAAAGTTACTATTAAGTGAAATCAAGTGAAATTTCGCACGTATATCGATTTGTTCCAAAAACTGCATTTGTCATTTTGTCAAACACACACACACACACACCCGCGCCCACATAAAATTACACACGGAGAGTGTGCGCTTGTGCTCGTGAGCGGAAACGGAAGAGTCAGAGACAGAGACAGAGACAAGGAAACCCCGGAAACAGCTGCTCCGACCACAAAACAGTGCAAACACCACGAAGCAACAATTGAAAGATGACGCCATAGAAGTTTCCTGGAAGCCACCAGCATCTCATCTCCCAGCATCAGTGACAGGACAGGCTTTCCAACAGCATTACCAGAAGATCCCACAAAGACGATTCTGTGCCAAACGAGACGAGGACCACGACGACAGGAACGGAGGTGGACAGACGGTGCAGCAGACGGGAGATTCAGAGGAAACTGGGCCAACCGGGGAAGGCCCGCGCTCCGCTCGGTATTTGTGCACTCGGTGGGTCCCACAGCAGAGACAACCCAATGCATTTGGGTGTACAACAACAACGCCCCAAGCAACACCAACAACAAC